TAAACACTCAACCGTATCATCATCACAATCGTTGAGCTCTAGACAATCGAAACACTCCCTAACACACAGGGCCACCCCACCGCCTCTCCTTCCTCGCCTGTCCCTTCTGAAGAGTTTATAAAATCTGTTTAAGCATGATTCCCCCCTGCCCCCATATTTCAGGTTTGAGCAAGTAATTTCCCAGAACTGTCAGGGAAAAAGAAATCACTTCTGGAGAGGTTTTCCTGAAGATCTCCTATGTGGCAATAAAACAGTTTAGCCTGCCCATGAGCAGATATTAAATATCTTTGGATGACAAAACAGTAACCAAACATTTTTATGATAGCATTACTAGATACCTTCTTATCTTGCAATGGCAGAATAACCATGGACTGAAAACAAAATGTTAATTCTGAAACACAAGGGAAACAGCAATAATGAAAACGCAAAGCTTCATGGTGTAACAAACGCTGTACTTACACTTCCCAAAGAATATATTCTGAAGTTTTGGAAATTACAGATTAACTTTTTTTACTTGTAAATTCAAGCATTATATCCAAAATACAAGCTATGTTTTAGTGAGGGAGAAACAAGAGGAGTACTAAGATAATGTCCATGTAAGCAAATATTTGGTTAAAAATACTTTATGCACAGACTAACATATCTCTATCGATCTATGTATGGAGGCATCGGAGAGAAAGGACACAGAATAAACCACTTCGCACAGCTGCTTTCCAGCTCAGGACATCCACAGTAAGTGCACAACGTTAAATGAAAGCCAAGGCAAAAAACTCCATTAAATGATACTTGCAGCTATTGAAACACAGGTATAGTAAAAAAAAAAAAAGCAGCTCAGGACAATTTATAAGAAATTATTTTCTTTGAAAATCTAAGAGTTTCTTCTTTGAAAGCTGCTGCTGACATAGTAGGTCATTTTCAGTTTGGGGAACTTAAACCAGATATAAAGTCTTTGAAAGTCTGAACTCAATTCATGCAGTTATTTTGGAAGTTCGCTGTGTGTGGAACTTAGGTTTCCACATAGGTATGGAAACTCCTTGATTTGCACTGGGCAACTAGCTCCTGCTAACGCTCCATCATGATCCAGAAAAGTAGCAGCAAAACTTCTAAGGGCCAAATCCAACGCCACTGATGCAGTCAAAGCTGTATATCCAACACATCCCAAAGGCATTCAAGTGTAGCTCTAATTCAGGACTGCTTGAAATCAAGAATGCAGCTGATTACAGAGAAATGGGGATACTTTTTGTTCTCATAAAGACACTAGAGCCCTCGCGGGAAGTTGTAGGCCCTTCTCTGCCTGGGGGAACTTGAACTTTATCTGTCTCCTAATTCCCTAACCTTAGGCCATGGGTACACATACTCCTTGGGTTGAAATAGGGCCATTATGCAGGTAACACAAGAGTCGCTGGACGGAAGGAAGAGCAGGTGAAGGGATCCTTCAGCGAGCTTGAGGGAGCACTCCTGGACCCTAACCCTTCTTCCAGAATTGTTTTGTACTTTACAAACACAGATCTTAGACCAAAATAACAATTATATATGTATATAAGCCACCTAGGACCAGAACCCAGTACATTTCCTCATCTATGACAGCTAAGACATTTTCTTGGAAAGTGGGAGATAAGAGCTGAAACCTATTCCAGGCCAGGAATGGCTGTTAAAAGCCAGTTCTGCTTCCTGAACAACCTTTCTATACATGCCACCACTGAAGGAAAGCATGGATTTACCAGTTTGCAGGTCCTTCTCTGCTGCGTTATTTTAATATACGCAAGCATTTTAAAGATTGAGCCTTGCTCAGCTATTTCAAGGAAATGCTGCGTGATTACCTCCGGGCACAGCATGCTCTATGTTAACAGGCAAGGGGGCAGAAAGCCTTTCTCTGCAGGTGCCTGAACTTCAGGGGTGAGAGTCTGGAGGTGTTCCTGCGCCCTGTGTCAGCATTAAGCAGCATCGCACTGAATACACAGGGTTTCCGTACAGCCGTTTCCATACACAGAATAGGAGGCCTGGATGCCTTCTGCCTCTTCTCCATCATCCATTTGCCTAGATGTCAGGCACTGTATCTCCACATTTGGTAAGAACCAACTCCTCCTTTAAAATTAATCCCTGAGCGAAACACCACAATTGTGGGCAGAACTCAGTGTGAACTGCACATTGAAAGATGCAACTAATTGTATCATCAGGCCCTTTATCAATTATAGTTACTTAGAAAGCATCAGCCTTACCACGACAGTATGAGAATAATCAATTAGTTAACATTAAGAAAGCAAACAAAAAAGCCCGTAATATATACCTTGATATATTTTACCTTAGTCTGCTCAGCTCTTAATCTTTTACCTCGTTAAAGACTTGGAAGTAGCAAGTGGCATCCCAGGAAAGATAAAAGAAATTCCTACAAGCATGAAAATTTTTCTTCCCAAACATGGGAAGTTTGAAAGACTATGATTATTTAACTTACTGAAAAGTGATACAACAAAAGCAGCATACAATTACTGAATATGTTTATTCATTGTATACAATCGTAATATGACAATTTATATTTCTTTCCCAGTGGAAACAAAGCCAATGAGCCAAACCTCAAAAAGAAGGGTAAATAAAAACCCTTCTCACAATATATCTGCAGAATTCACAACTGTAAAGCTGAGACAGAATGTGGATTAATTCATCTATATAAATTTATTTAAGTGGCCTTTTTATTTCCAGGGCTGACAGAAATAGAAATATATCTGTATCAGCTAGAATAAAAATTCACGTAAGTTTTGAAAACCTGTTTTGGGGAAAAAACCCCACAACCAAATACAAAAACATAAACAGTCCATGGTATAGGAAACTTTTTCCCCACATGCTTTCTGCCACTGCCGTATTGGAAAGAAATAAAAGGACCATTTTAACCAGCACATTTTCACAGTTTTATTTTAAAATCCTTAGGTAAGTCGTAGGTGATTTTGAACTTGTATTTTTGCTTTAAATAAAAATCATCCCAAACTTTTGTTCTGTAGTTTTGGGTAAAGCAAACAAACTGTTTAATGAAAAAAAGCTAACAGTTCTGTACAAAACTCCATTTTGGAATTTGTATTTTAGACATGATTTAGGTTTTTTTAGATTAAAAACATTTCATGTGGTGATTTTCATGCAACAAAGTGAACATTTTTCCTATGCTGTCTGACAGAGTACAGGAGATAAATATGCTTCACATGGAACAAGTAGTTAAGTAGTTCAACCATGAATGCAGATACACTATGAACTTTAAAAGAACTATTTCAACAACAATAGTTAGGGTTTATGGGAAATCAGTAAGGTGTGTAAAACAAAGTGATTTGGAAATATTTTAGTTACAGCAAGTGTAACACAAATATTTCAGTTTTTGCTGAGAACACATGGAGCACCTATCGGTTTGGAAAGTGATCCTGATAACATCATCAGCTGCACCTACCTTAATAAGTAATTACCAGATACATTTTAAGAGATTCTCAATGCTTTTTAAGGTTTTGAAATTTGAACAAGAATATTGGTAGAGTTACAGGGTAGAAACTTCCCTAATACTGCCCTGTCTTGATGAAGAGGAACATTTTTATGATACCCATCTCTTACATCTATCTTTCAAAACCTCATTGGATAAATATGCTTTACAGATTTTTGTATAAAATCCGTTTCAGAGAAAAAAAAACTTCAGGAACTAAGACCTGAATTATTTTAAGTTGGCTTTCCCAGCTACTGAAATAGTATAATGATGTTTTTTTGCACAAAATTATATAAATTTATTTCAATATTCTTGCAACCGTTTCCAGTCATACAATCAACTTATTTTCCACATCTATTTATTTTAAGAAGCCTTATATACATACGGAATTATTGTACGTATCTTATCTAATGAATTATCAAGTGTTCAGACAGATGTGTGTACTGGCTTTCATTGTGCCAGTTTCATCACAAGTGAAAATAATCTCTTTCAAAAACCGATTTACAAATACAGTTGCTCAAAAGGTAGAATAAAAAAATAGAAGTCAAAAGACGTTGGTCTGTTGTGGTCCTCAGAATTACTGAAAATGCCCTTGTTTTTGTTATAAGTATTCAAATGGAACATGAAATGAAAATCTCAAGAATTTGGGTATACAAATCAGTAACTCCTGAGTTACGCTGTACAAGCATTTTGGGCAACCAGTTGTAACACAGATGTACAGAAGCAACTTTCTTGAATACTCAAGAAAAAAAATTATGCTGTATTATAGCACATGCTATTGTTATAACATATGCTTTATGTTGTATAACAGCGAATTCCACCTAAATGCAGTAGGCACATGCTGCCATTTCATGAAGCTATATTACACACGTAACTAGCACTGAGTATCTACAAAAGCATTTCCTATTTTCAACTGAACTGTAGCTAACCCAACAGCAGAGCACCGTGCCTCATCGGAATATCGTGTCTTCACTACTTTTTTGTGGCGTGGAAGAATGTAACACTGGCATTACAGCACCATTTTTTTTTTCTTCACAGAATCAATCCAAATTTTACAAAAATATAGCCAACCAACAAACAGAAAAGTATGCTGCATATTCAGTTCTGTCTATAGATAGCACTTCGCAATTACAGCTATAGAAGTCAAGCAATTAAGTATTTGGAAGTTACGGCTGTGCATTCCTCACGTAACTATGTAGTCACACTGTATATTACCATATAAACTTCTCTTTGTGAGGGGCAAAAGATGAAAAGTGCTCACTTAATAAACTGGAGAATAGAACTATTTTAATTCCCCCCCCAGCATGACATCATGTCTTACATTAGCATTCAAACGCTAATCTAAGAACTACATGTCTTACAGTACTCATGAAATCACCACGCTGCTTCCTCACAAACATTAATGCAACAATCTCCAATGAGATGATTCAGTAATACTGAGCAAATACTGCTGCATGTCCTAAGTGATTTAGCATTTTGTAGGACTCTATCATCACTTCAGAATACTAATTTTCAATGATCTGCATTGTGAGTTCCGAGAAGTAACAGCTTGAAAGCAACCTGGGCACAGAGAGACAGATTAACAACCAGTGAACAATGAAACCAAGTTTCTCAGCGTGTGTAGGGATTGTGTAAGAGGCAAATCTATTCTTCCAGGGTGGCCTCAACAGTGAAACAATCCTTTCTCTTCTTGTCCATTACAACCTCTCCAAATTAAGTCAGGACCTTACAAACAACATGTCCACGGGCAAAGCAATTTCTTCCTCTAATCATTTTGTCTCTCTGAACAAGGCGGGAAGTTTTCATTGCACATATTCCACAACTTCCATCCCTCTGCTCTTCACCCAAAGTTGTTGCTTCAAAGTGCATTTGAAACAAGTTAACAGCACTTTCACAGATGAGAAACTGAGGCTCCAGTGCCCAGATTCATCATGTCGCTTATGTATTTGATCAAAGCACCAAAGCTGGAGTCCCCCTGAGCTCTCTCCAGTCAGAGACCTTCAGCAGTATGACCTTCAGCTCTCTTGACTGGATTTCTAATTCATGCAGTTTGATCAGGTGCCTAAGGATGAGCATAAATTCATCTTTTAGGAGTACTAAGCAAGAGATACAAAGGAGATGAGAACACTAAACCAACCCAGGTCTCAAAAGTAGAACCCTACCTACAGTAACGCATTGCCTCCTGAAATTCCTAGCATCTTAGTTTTTGAATACTTGACCTTGCAACTTTAAAATATTAATATACTTCTGGATATAAGAACACAAACACAAATAATCTAAGTCATCAGCAGTTGGAGCATATTTATCTGCCATAGAGGTCTTTATTGTATGAACACAGTAAGCAGCAGCTGATTCTCTCCACTTCCGAAGGCGTGCTTTGCCAGCGATTTCACTGGCCAGAAGGGGAATCCAGCTTCATTTTCAAAGGCTGAAATAGGTGCAAAATACCGCCCCATCTTCCCCCTCCCACTTCTTTAGGCCTGCCAAAGCTTACCCTTGTCTTAGGTTAACCGTAAGCGCAGAAGTCTTTCTAAATCCACTTTCTGCCACACAGTCATTCTAATTCCCTTGCCATAGCACCACTTCCAGAACGCACTCAAATAAGGCCACTTCTGAGCCATCCTTTTCGCTAAGACATAGGTAAAATGGAAAAGGAAGTTTCTCTACTGTCTACTCTTGTTCTCTAACATAGCCACCTTGGCTACCAGGGGCAAGTTCACCTCATTTTAGCAGCTCTAGACAAGAGCATAATCCAGTCAGACTCTATGGGTAATTCTGCCACCATTTTCTAACAAGCCTGTGGTTATCACTGGCATTACATCAGTCCCCTATCAAAGGCCCTATTTCAAACCACATAAGTACTTTAAAACTTGAGAGAATCTATTTTTAATTTTTCCTTTATAAATGGATAATGTATTTCCACTTTCATTTCACTTCACTCTGAAAAACCACTAAAATAAACCCTAAATTTTCCCAAAAATGCTGAGTAATTTGAGACCAGGGCAGAAGAGAAGAAATGGGCATCTAACAACTCCAATTAGCAGCAACCTGTATGGCATATGCTTCTCTAGCATATACTTCTCAGTGCAACTGGGGTTGTATTTCCCCCATGAAAATTACGGCATCCTTCTTAAAAAAACAAATACATTCGACAAATAAAGAGAATTATCACAATGGAAAGAGGCAGCAGTGCTCGAACCACAAACACTGCTGACAGATCACCTTTAATTCAAATCTGTATTAAACCTAAAATCCAATTAATGTAACTGGTTGGGTTCGTTGGTTTGTTTGGGTTTTGTGTGTGCTTTTTTTTGGTAGAGGGTCTTAAATAAACAGTATCTTCCATATTCTTAAAATCAGATTGTCCTTTCTCCTACTAATCTTCCTACCAGATGGGACAACTCCCCTCCTAGAGGCAAACTGGCTAGCAACATCCATTTGTATTTTGCAAATTAAATTTAACTTTCAAATTCTAAGTTAGTATTTACAAGGTATCACCCAAGAACTCTTCTCTTAATGTACGGTGAACTATATTCAAAACGTCAAAAGTTATTTGTCCGTGGACACAAGAAGCAAGTAAAAAACAATTTATGTAATAAAGTCTTGGTAGAAGTCAACTCAATTTTCAACAGTTTTAAAATATGATCGTGCAATGGGCTGCAAAGAATCTATATGGAATTCATTTGTGCATTCTCTAAAATATTAACTTCCGTGCAACGCATGGCACGTAGAGCGTAAGTTATCCTGAAATAAGTAAATACACGCTAATGCGGTATTGAGGAAATGGTTTCTGAAGCAGATTTTTCACTAGTTAGCCATAAGCTCTCGTACTCACTGATGAAGAAAAAAATATTATGGACAACTAAATGTTCATCTTAAACATCTGCTGACATTGGACATTAGGAAAACAGAAAGCAGATTGATTTATGTATACAGACAGTTTGTGAACTTTTGCACAACGTTAAAGTCTTTTGTGGAACGAAAACAACAAGTCACTTGGGAGAAAAAGTGCAAACAAAAAAGAACTTTTGCTGAAGCCAAGCACGGAACAGAGAAAGTAGTTAAAACTCAGACTGAATCTCTCTTTCAGAATATTAGGAACCATTTAACTAGAGAGCAGCATCAAACTGAACTACCCCATATTTTCCACTTACCATCCATTCAGGTTCAGAAGCCTGAATTTGTTCACCTTGTCCAGGTTTTAGGCCAACCTGAGTGTCAGATTTCAGTGTTCTCAAACTACAGAGGGGCGCAGGATGAAACTTGTTCAAGGCTTGATGAAACGGAACAGTATATTCCCATTTTCTATCTCCTGTTAATTTTCGATAGTTTAGATCACCTTTGAAAAGGAGCAAGTTTGACTGCTGTAGATCGGCATACAAGTCAGGAGCAACTTCAGCCATGCTGGAAAAGTCATGTGGCAAAGTCCAAAACATGTGATCATGGTAAACCCAAACTCCCTTTTTCAAATTGCCCTCCCAGTTTATCCCACATCTAGACATCCACATATGATTAGCTGACTGCAGTTGTTTAATAGTCCAGTTAAAATCATGCTTTGTGGTATCTGACACATACCATGGAATACTTTTTCCATGAAAATGGACTTCATCAGCTAGCTTGGACGATAACAGGAAGTCAGCCAACACAAGATCACTTACAAGTTCAAATCCGGCATTATCCAGGATTATGTCAACTCTAACATTACTTTTTTCTGTATTTCTTTTTCTGGCGTTTACAAGCAGTGACCAAAGCTTTTCCATGTCATTCACTAAGATGTAAGGTATCATGTTTTCCAGGGATTGTAAAGGACTGGATTTCTGAGAGCTGTCTTCACCAGCTGAAAAAGAAAGGTCACACTTATTGCCCCACAGTGACACCTAGAAGGAGGAAAAAAAAACAAAAAATATTTGCTAAGTCTCACTGTAGTTACATTCTAAACTTCACATACACTAAAGATTTTGTTTGTTGGTTTTTATTTTAGGGACATGAAGACTCAAACTCCACACTTCACTCCAAGCTTTAATAAAATGCAACTTCTTGTACAGAAATCTTAATATAGACAAGATTTTGTGGAAGAAACCAAACAATCAAAGATGGAAGATTTAGATCAACGTAAATACACTGCTTAAAACACAAATATTGTCCATACTGCGATTCCAGAAAATATCAATGGGAACACAGAAAAAGGAGTAATAAAAGCAGGTTTGTTTTTTTTTATTACATGCAGCCAAGTAAGAACTTGTATTTTAAGTACACGCTAATGAGGTCTTTATAAAGATTCATCAAATATTTGGTGTGCACTGTTGCCAGCTAACAGCCCTATTTGTAATCCTATGGTATTTCGTATGCTACCCAAAGGCATTATTTTCCAGGAATAATGCAGTTATAAAACTTTTAAACCACTTCTAGCCCAGGCTGACTTCTAACATTTTTTCCAGAAGAAATCTAAAAATTTTTAGAGTGTCAATAAAATTAAGCAGTTTAAAATTTTATAGTTAAATAACAAAAAGGCCATCTGGAACTCGACTTAAAATGTTTTATATGCTGGTTTTAAGGGAGAATAAGCTGGGTTTTCAAATACACAATGAAGACCAGCAGAACAATGAAAGTGTCATATTTAATACAAGTAACCAAAATTTAAATATTTCCAGAGCAGCAGCAACACAGTATAGCTGTCCGGATTTCATCGCATTTTTACAAACAAGAGAGCTATATTTTAATTTCCATATGAAGTTCAGAGTCCTTATAACTTCAAGTTTTTGTTTGTTACATAGGAGAGAGATTTTAAATTCTTATGTTAAGCACTACTACTTTACCTGCAACAGGTTAAAGAGTTCCTCCTGAAGTTGCTTTTCGTCTAGATCCTTGATGTTCTTAAGAAGTTCCTGAAAGTAAGTGCATAAGGCAATAACAGCCTCTTGGGATTCAAAGAAATTTTGAGCCTTTCCTTCCTTAAATACATCAAAGTTGTCAATAGGTGGGCTAAAAATAGAAGGAGAACAAGCAGATTAACATACTTGCCGCATTTTCCACGACAGCACAGGAAACACACCTGAAAATGCAAGCTTGAAGCTCAGCTTTTCTAGGCCGAACTACGGGCCCTAGTTAAGATTTGCCACTTCTAATTTGTCATACTAGATTTTCACACATCTCAATAACAGCCTGGAATCGTATCTCACTGAAACAGGCAGTATGCAAGACATCTTTGTATTTCTAGCAATATATTCTGAAAGTGAACAAGTGTTCAGTCACAACAATTCTGGGAACTGCACATACAGTGAGAACTTTGAACTCCAGTCTTCAGACACGGAGAATTAAAACTGTTCACATACAAGTGAACTAACGTAGTGAATTGCTGGCCCAGTTTTAAGCGTGTTTGTGTGTGCTGAAGTGTACTTCCCATAATGAAGTCTCTTACAGTGATATGAAGTTATTCTTATGAAGGTTTTTAACTAGGACTTCAGAAAATTAACATGACAAAGACGACAAAACAATTCAGTTCTTGTCATATATAAGAAATATAGACTCATCTATTATGAGACGTATTTGCACGTATACCTTTTGACAAATGATTGAACTTTCATCCAAGCATACGCTTAAGAGCAGCTAAATAATGGAGATCAGGAAACTCAAAGCTTACTAATGAAAAGTATCTGCTCAGTTTTTTAAGTGCAATCCAGCAGATCCATCTCATATTTGAAGTTTTTGCTACGAGAGTTCAAATTACGCAATGTACCAGTAGAAAGAGAGTCCCGTTACTGTGTGTCTGTGTCTCTGTAATACTAAGGGCAAATCTAGTACGCATGGAGCTCTCCATTTTTTTTTGGCAGCAGCGGGGACTTCTTGGGAGTTCTTCTTGCAATGTACTCCATTGCATCGTACTGGCACCGCTCCATAGCACCAGCACAACAAGTTTTTCCTGCCAAGTTATTTTTAACCAGGATCAGCTCCCAAAGTTTGATGCAACACGTGGTCTGCAAACACTGCTGTAACTAAGAAGATGGTGTAGAATGAACAACAGGGGCTGCTTAAGCTGGGTCTACTGCTGTAACAGTTCTCAAACGGTAACTTCAGATTTCGAGCAGCAAAACAAGTTAGAATGCCCAACAGATTAGTGGCTCTCGCATCCCGTGTTTTAGGCGAACATATGTCTCAAGAGATAATTCTAGACTAACAAGCCTTTCAGAAATGCTAAATAACTTTCATATCTCAATGCACATTAGTCTGCAAGAAGGCCAAGCTATACAGTCAAGCTCAAGAGTTTTCGTGTAGACCAAGTCACAGAAGCTGAAGCACAAAAAAACCCTAGTAAGCTTCAAAGTCTGCCGCATGGAAGAAGAAAAAGTATTACTTTTAAATCTGAGGTGCGAGACGAGGGAAAAGGAATATGGTAAAAGCTTAAGATTTTCCTTCATCTTACTCCCCAGCTGTCTTCCTTTCTCCTAAAATAAAAACGGGAAAGAATAATGTTTTGCAGAGCAATACACCAAGCTAGTAAATACTTACTTCTGTGCTAGTGCTGCGTGAATTCTTCGATACATATAACACTCCACATACAACCAAGGGGACTGAAACCAACTCGGTTCTCCGTTTCCATTTGATAAATTTCGTTGGTAGTCGAGGTATTGGTTCCACAGCGCAGCATCAGGCAGCTCATCTTCTAAAGGGGTCACTGGTTTGTCTGTTTGCAGTTCGTTCCGCAGTTTGGAGAGGAAAGAGATAGCTCTCTTCTCTGCTTCAATGCCCTTCTGAAATAAGCGGAGAACAAAAGTTCCTATTCCGAACATTTATTCCTGAAGAGACACAGATCAGTCCTTCACAAAAGATATACGCCATAAGTTTCAATTGCCAGATACGAGTCCCCGACAAATCAGAGCTTGATTCCACCAAACACATTTTGGTGAATGAAGCTCGTTTTACACCCGATCCTAAAATGAATCACGCGTGGGACTTCCTTTCAGATCGGACTTTTTGCTTATTAGAGGGGAACAGAGTACTGAAACATTGCCATGTTCAGAAAATGCTACAGTCTATTAAACACCGCATCAACACAAAAACCCGAGAAAGTGAAGCAGCTGCAGAACAGATAGGTCAGAAAAAGGTTAGACGGAAAGGCGAGTTACAAAATTAATGAGAAGTAGCTACAAGAAAGAGATGACAAAGAAAAAAAAACGACAGAAAGATTAAGACAGACAAGTACTGACGGTAGTAAGAAACCAGCAAAAACAAGGCAGAGAAGGGGTCTCAAGGGCCAGGGGGAAAAAAAATCTCAGGCAGAAAGAGACCTTACCCTTACCTCACCATGTTCTTCAAAAAATTCATTTTTATGTCGATGCAGGGTATCAATAACTCGTGTGAGGATCTGAGGCAGTCTGTCTTTAATTGTGAAATATGCAAAGGACCTAAAAAGGAGAGGATCAAAATTTTATTATTGAGAGGAAATGATGAAGTATCTTCTATTTTTTAAAAGAAATGCTAGGTCTTAAAAGTAATTCGATGTGCCTTTAAAGCAGTGGACACCAATAAAAAACAAACAAACGAGTCTTAAATTGGCCAGGTTCTTAGGTCTACTTTTGAAGAAAAAGATAAACGGCAGTCTTTTCAGGGAAGGAAATGCTAAGTGACTGGCCCTGCCAAAAGAGCAAAAACTGCAGTTAATTCGAGGCTCAAACGTGTTCTCTAATTGTTCACTTACCCAGATGTAAAGTCAAGGAAATTTAAAATTAAAAGCACAGAGATTTCTTTAAAGTTTATGCGCATCTTGCATCGACAACAAAGCCCACACCACTCGCTCTCCGCTATATACTCGATTTCCATTCCCCCCAAACGCTGGTTATAGGCGAGAAGGACAACGAGCAAAACGCCACCAGCCCTACGGAGAGCTCGAACCCGGCCTGAAGAATGATTTTTACGTGAAGATTTCTCTCCCGTGAGCCGGAGCCCCGGTCCCGGGGACTCGGAACCGAACAGCTACCCGCGACTGCGCGGTGAACCCAAAGAAACCTAGGAAAAACAGAAACACAACCCCTCCCCTCCCCCAAGGCCCGTTCCGCTCAGTGACGGGCGGTTAGCGGGGGCGAGGCGAGGCAACGCCGGCCCGA